TGCTTGATAAAGTAGTGAGTTGGCAAAATAGAAGATCCTCAATGAAATGGTTTGAAACAGTAATGAAGTCAAACATGGCAGTGATTGTGGGGATGGTGCCGGACTGGATTTTGATCTGTACAGTTACACATAGCGTCACTCTGAGTAAGAACTGACGGGACAGCACCAAGGAACAACAGCAGCATGAGTTACTAGATTGTTTTAATATAACAAACTCGGCTTGCAGCCAAAATACCGAGTTCAAGTTTTGACTTGTCTGTTTGGTAGCTTCATGAGCTAGAGCAAGTCACCTGTCCTCTTTCCCTTCGTTGCCACCATCTGCCTTCTCTAACTTATAAGGATATTTTGAAGTACCTTTGTAAACGGAAGGTGCTTATTATTTCAATCAACTTAGTAATTCGACCCATCAGCAAACGACTAGGTTTGTAAAAAATCTGTGCATCATTCTGTCTTTAGATTTAAGAAAAATTATCTCTGTATGTGAATTATGCAGAGAAACTGAATGTATTTCTAGTATTTAGTGAGGGCAGAATAAAAAGTAAAGTTCAGTGTATGCTCTAGAGACTACGTTAAAATTATATATTCCTTTTAAGAAAAGCTGAATGACATTTAAATGACATTTTTCTATTCTACAGAAACCCAAGGCAAATACCAAAGTAATTTGTAAGCGTTGTAAGGTAATCTTGGGAGAGACCATGTCATCAGGTAAGAATTTCATAACAAAAAGCCAAATTGATTGTCTAATTATTAAGGAAAGGGAAAAAGTAGCCAAAAAAGACAAAAAACAATAGAAAAAGATTTTCAGTAGTTAGATGATTAATGTAAATTATATAATAGCTGCATTTCAAAATATAAACCAACTAACCAATATTATCCAATATACCAAAACATTGTATAGTCTGGCCTTTATAAGTGCATAGAATTGACTGTGAAGCAGTAAGCCGTTGAGTCATGTTGGATTTTTCATATTATTTGTGGGTATAAAGCAATAGCATAAAGTTTATAGTGGAATCTGTCTTAAAGAAGATTGGAACCTTTCTCATAGCACAACTCCTCAGTTGCAAAGTTGGTACCCAGAGCCTGAGGAGTTTCTTTTTCTGGCTGCCATCTGTCTCGGGCTGTTTCATGTAATATTTGGGGGTGGGGGCTGTGGGTATGGTGAGGAGATAGGTTGGAAAAGTTCTGTTGAAAGGGAAGAAACCTTCTGAATTTTGTACTTTGTTGTTTCTTTTATATTTTTAGGTGAAGTCTGTTTTATTGCTTTAAAACAGGATTTAAAGTATAATACTGAAAATCCTAATAATTAAGAAGCTTTACTGTTTAAACATGGAGGTTTAAAATGTCTAGAGAGCTGCAACATGCTGTTGGCTTTGTGGGTGATGAATAATTGCTTTTAATATGATTAATTAGGCAATGTAACTCAAGGAAAGGTAGATGGTGGTATATTTTGTTTGTTTTGCTAATAATCAAAAGTCTTACAAAATCTTGGCTTTGAGTAAACAGAAAATGAAGAGTAGTAAATGATGCCATACTCAGTGTCATTTTTGGATAATAAAAGCAAACCATTTAGTAAACAACTGAAAATGAAATTAAGGCATAATTTATTTAAATGATGAGTAAAGTGTCTGATTCCAGATCAACAAATTGAGGGCTCAGAACCTTTTGTGTTCATTTCTGTCTTGAGATCATGTAAGCATTGGGCTGCTAACTGCGAAGTCGGTAATACAATCCCACCAGTTTCTCTGTGAGGAGAAATGGGGCTGTCTGCTCCCAGAAAGATTTACTGCCCCAGAAACCTTCTAGGGTCACCATGTGGCAGAATTGACTTGAGGCCAATGGGTTTTGTTTTTTGATTGAGGTGAATTTATTTTTTATACTCTTTGTGAAACCTAATTAAAAACGACAGGGAATAAAAATAGTATACATCCGTGAAGAGAAGGAAATGGAAAGGACATGGCAAAGACTGAAAATTTTGAAATCCATAAAGGTAAGAAAGGCATAATATGTGGCAGGGTGGAGGAAGCTGGAGTGTAGATGTCTGCAGAAGGACATTTCAGTGCGTTACAAGGCAACATTCATGCAGGACGCTGTAACAGCTCCGAGGTCTGAGTTGCCAAGTTAACAGAGAAGGCAATCCCAGGTAGGCAACTGGAAGCAGGATGATTCATTCACAGTCTACATGTGGAGCTAGTAGAACACTAGCCCTCCTTTCCACTTGTACTTTGCTCGTACCCCCCAGGTGGAGACTAGAGGACCTTTTCTTGAAATAATTGAAGTGGACTGACTTAGGCTGGATCTTCAAGAGGAGTGAACCTAGTGAAGTATATCGTAGTTTCTCCTTAGCCTGTTGATCCAGGGGCTGGAGGAGCCTCAGTGGCCGAGTGGCATTCTTAACTTGTTCAATGCTATCAGTTTTGTTTATAGGTAATAATGTTCCTTCCTTTGAAACTAAGTCCTCTGAACCTGAAACACCCAAGACAATGGGATAGGAAGGGAAAAATGTATACTTGGACAACCAGTGAATGCTGCTACTTCCATTTCCATCCCCTGGTTCCTAGACCTGTGAATCCTTGGCTATGGGGAAATTACACCGTGGACTGGAGCATTGAAAGCTCTTGCAGAACATTGCTCCAACCTTGAAAAGTACTGCCGTGTACCTGGCACCATTGTTGCGTCTCTAGGAGGACATTTCATGGCTGTGGCAAGCCTTCTGTTCTGGGAGGGTGGGACCAATGAATTCCATGTACCATGAGTTCATTTCTGTACTTCATATGCTGTGAAGTAAATCCCTTGATCTGAGGCAATGCTGTGTGGGATACCTGATGATGGATAAGGCGTTCTGAAAATCCATGGATAGTAGATTGTGTGCTTGGAATCTATATTGAAGTTATGCCTATACTCCAGTGTTATGAATTGAATTATGCCCCCCCCAAAAGTATGCGTCCACTTGACTGGGCTATAATTCTCGGTATTATTTAGTTATCCTTCCCTTTTTGATCTGACATGCTTGTTCTATGTGCTAACCTCTTTGATGTTATTCCTTAAGTAAGATTAGTGGCAATTACATTAATGATGTAGGATACATTCTACAGGACTAGGGTGTATCTTCAGTTAATCTCTTTTGAGATTAAAAAGATTTAAAAATTGAACAGAGACAGGGAACACCTACCATTAAGAAAGAAGAGCTGGGAGCAGAGGGAGTCCTATGGATCCAGGGTTCTTGTGCTGAGAAACTCTTATACCCTGTGGAAGACTGAGGTACAGGACTTTCCCCCAGAGCTGACAGAGAAGCCTTTTCCTAGAACTAGCTCTGTGAATAGTGACTTCTAGTCTCCAAACTGAGAGAACACATTTCTGTTTGTTATGCCATCCACTTTTGGTTTTCCTCTTGTAGCATTAGATAATTAAGAAACCCAGTAAGTACAAAACACTGCCCTTCCATAATGGAATCAGTCCAGTGTAATCAGTCTGTCACCAGATAGCTGGCTCATCGCCCAGAGGAATGGTACCATATAAGGGACTCTTTCTGGTGTTTACTCTGAGCAGAATGAGCTCTCAGGGCCGCAGCCTGGTTGAGCTGCAGTTCTCCATTGCATAGTGTGCAGAACCATCTATAAGCCAGATACCAGATACAGATTTTCTCTTCCTCAGTCAACAGATTGTAAAGAACACACCATGAGGCCATAGAAGCAGCCTGGGAAGATAATGTATCAGGGCTGAGACCAGGGGTACGTGGACCACGTCCTTATAGAACTTACTTGTACCTTAAGGTCTTGCTTAAGCTTGGATATACCACTTCCATATAATCATAGAGTACTGTTATGCATATTCAACTTCATGGCTTGCTGGGTCAGATAACTGACATGGGCAACTCAGACTCTGGTAACTTTGGTGGCCCACGGTTAAGCTTTCAGTCTTTACTGAGACCTAGTAACAAGACAAAAGCAGTTTCTCAACAGTGAAGTAGTTGCCTGCAGACATTGGCAGGGCTTTGTTCTAAAATCCTAAATTTCTATGCTGTAGTTCACCAGTAAGGGCCTCAAAAGACTCTAAGCCAGTGATTCTCAACTTTTCTAATGCTGTGACCCTTTAATACAGCTCCTCATGTGGTGGTGACCCCACCAACTGTAAAATTATTTTCATCGCTATTTCATAACTATAATTTTGCTGTTGTTATGAATTGGGCAGCCCCTGTGAAAGGGTTGTTCGACCCCCCAAAGGGGTCACGACCCACAGGTTGTGAACCGCTACTCGCTATATATCTTATCAATGGTGGCACTTCAGCCACTATTGGATCAGCCAGGTCATGTGGCCCAAATAGCAGAAAAATGTCATTTGCCAGATCAATAGTTCCATATCAGATATCAGGAGATATACAAGTATCAATTTGCTCAAGTGAGATAGCCACATCTGGAAAAGTAACTGCAATTGGAGTCATGACTTAGTTAAGTCTATGATGATTCATTGTCATTCTCCAAGATCCATCTTTTTTTTGCACAGGAAAATGGGTGAGTTTAATGGGGATTTATTGGGAATCACCACCTTTTTATCTTTCAATCCTTGATGGTGGCAGTAATTCCTGCAATCCATCCAGGAATGCAGTATGGATTTAGTTCTCTATTTTACTAGGTAAGGGAGTTCTAATGGCTTCTATTTGGTCTTCCCTACCCTAATAGTACAGTCCACGTGTCAGGAATGCAGTGGGAGGTATTTGCTGAGTATATCTATTTCTGTTTTGCATTTTGGAATTGGGATAATCACTACAGAGTGAGCTTGGGGCTACATTGGACCCATTGTGAGAGGCCCCAGCTTTTCATTACTAACATGACTCACACACGCCTTGCTCTGCCTGGTGGGCCAAAGTCACATATTAGTTTTCTTGGGATTATTGTCAGCTCAGAACCAGTGTCTAGTAATCCCCCAAAGTCTAATGATTTCCTTATCTGCAGTGCATAGTCACTATCTGACTTCATAGATAGATATTTAGGGTAGCCTGAGAGAAAGATTAACAGTACAGATTTTTGGCATTACGGGGGTGTTTTTCTTCAAGGGGTCCTGGCCCCCTCCATTGAAGTGGTTATGAGTCTGTTATGGCTAAAGTTTAAGGGCTGTGACTACTCTCTATTCAGGTGAATTGAGTTAGATTGCCATTCACTTGACCCAGAATTCTTCTGCCTGTACAGATCAGATAAATGTTTAGTCAATTTCCCATCTATTTCACTCTGAAGGACACCATAATTAAATAACCAATGCCATATGAGTCAGTCTATTTTGATTACTGCTTTGACTGCTGCCCATTACAGTAGCAACACTCGCATTGTCTCTGGTGATGAAGTGTTGCACTTGCCACTACCCACTTAGGATCCAATGAGCCTCATTGTAGTTAGGTGTCTTAATTCAACTAGAGCAGTTCCCGCTCTCAACTCTTCTCAAATTATTCTCGTCACCATTATGTGAGAGGTGTGGTCTCCGACACTCTCTGGGGAGGTGTGTGGGTCCCACTCGATAAATCTACTCTAACATTTCCCTAAGGCTTTGGCTACCAGTCTGCAGCATAACAAGGCAGGTCTGGTGTTTCAACTTGATTTAGTACATATAGGTCATTGCTTAATCCGTGCTTTGGTGAGCCAAGTCAATAAATCATTAGATTCTTTTTTAACTTAGGGAGTTGAAACATTGAATGAAGAAACTGTGCTTAGCGGACT